ACTGGGTTATGAAACCATTCTTTCGTCCCGTAAGCTATTGAGATCATACGCTTGCTTCACTTGAAAAAAATATTTAAGTGATGTCAAACTGATGGTACTGTTAAAAATCAAACTCACAAATAACATTATACTCAATGGTGAAAGACTGAAAAACTTTTCCTTTAAGAAGAGAAAAAACAAGGATGCCCACTTTGACAATTCTAATATACGTACTACTGGAAGTAGAATTATCTTAGTTAACAAACAACATAAAATTGTTAAGAGTCCACCAAAAATCTGTGAGAGCTAATTAACAAATACAGCGCAGTCGTAGGACATAAAGTAAGTTTTATTTCTATACACTAATAATATATAATACTAAGAAATATTTTTAAATGATTACATTTACAATATCATGAAAAAGAATAACATCCCAAGGAATAAATTTAACAAAGAAGGCAAAAAATGTTGGAAAACTGAATATTAAGATGGAATTACTACTGCAAGAAAACTACAGATGCAATGAAATGTCTGTTACAATTCCAACTACATTTTTGATAGTAATATAAAAAAGTACATCCTAAAATTCCATGAAATCTGAAGGTACTTAGAATAGTGGAAAGAATCTTACAAAAGAATTGAAGAGCTCACTATCCTGAGTAAAAACTTTTTACAAAGCTACAATAATAAAAACAGAGGAGTATTGGCATAAAGACAGACATAAACCAACCAAGTAAAATAGAGATACAAAAAATAAATACAAACATTTCACTTATGTGGTCAGAGGATTTTTGACAAAAGTCTCAAAAGCCATTCCCAGGGGACCTCGTTCCACCAAATGCTGCTGGGAAAACTGGATATCCACATGCAATTAACAAAATGGGGCCCATTGCCTTACACTGTGTACAAGAATTCACTTAAATGGATCAAAGAGCTAAATATAGAGGTAAAAGTATAAACTTTTAGATGAAACCATAAGGAAAGGGTTTCATGACATTGCATTTAGGTTGTTCTTTCTTGGATGTAACACCAAAAATGTGTGCAACAAGAGTAAAAATATAGATAAATTGGTCATTATCAAAATA